AATCATGCCCTTTCAAAGACTTCTGGTCACGATTGCAAGTCATTTTCTAAACTTCCCCCCCCAAAACCCTACATGCAATAGTAGTCCTGAATGCAAATCATGCCCTTTCAAAGAGTTCTGGTCACGATTGCAAGTCCTTTCTTAAACTTCCCCCCCCAAAGCCCTACATGCAATGGTATTCCTGAATGCAAATCATGCCTTTTCAAAGACTTCTGGTCACGATTGCGTGTTTCCAATAATTTGTGACTCCGGAGATTCGACCAGTCGGCTCACTAAAGCGGCCGGTGCGGCGCCAGCTGGCCAGATGAGACCTCAATAACTGCACGCCGTTGTGGCACGAAGCACATTTCCAAGTCAACAGTTTAATAAATTGAGGAAGTCTCGCAGAATAACTTCAATAGATAGATCAAAAGATAGATAGACAGCTACAACTACAAGTAACACTACACTACAAGTACCACTTTAGTACGCTGCATGACACAACACTAATTACATTACACTACACCAATTGCATCTAATTACGCTACACTACTACACTACAGTAATTACACTACACTTCAATGACATCTAATTACGCTACACTACACTAAATGCAGTACAACTCACTACAAACTTCACTACATTACGCTACACTACGCTAATTTCATTACATTACGCTACCACTGCAAATACCACTACATTACACTACACGACGTTACATTACAACTACGACAACACTACTTTACAACACAATTCGCTAGACTACGCAGTACGCAATACTACAGTACACTACAATACACATACTCTACACTAATTACACCACACCACAACTGCAACTGCAACTGCATATTACAACTACCACACCACTAACTGCAACCACACCACTAACTGCACCACACTAATTACATGACATTACAACATATTACACCTACAACTTACAACTCGAATTCAACTACAACTACAGCTACACGTACAACTACAACTGCAACTGCACTACACCATGCGCCATCCAGCAGTTGTGGTAAGGTGACAACTGCAACCATTGCAACCACTCCAGAAAACACGACTGCAACCACCTTTTGGCCCATCAGTAGATTCGCCATGCAATCCGTGAGTCACAACAACCAACCCTTCCTATAGGTTTCCTATTTTTTGAAACTTCCACCACCGCTTTGTGCGGTACTACTGCTAATAAAATGGAATTGCAATGTTTTTTCGAGATGGAATTCTGCAACAATGCAGCTATGTGCCTCATATGGCCACCATAGTTCAAGCGATCGATACAAGTCTTGGAACCTCCTGCAGGGCATGCCAAAGGTGCAACGTCAGTTGTGGGCCCGGAACAAAAAAAGCGACTATCATTTGTGGCGTTTTTTTTTTGACGGCGGCAGACCAGTTATGCGAATTCACCAAGTCAGTAGATCAATTGACCGTTGTCGGCCATTCTACATGCATATAGACCGTATGGTCTCCAGATATACGGGAATTGTTAACTTGTCCACATTTTCGCTGTTTGCTACCTGATCATTGGTTGACAATCATGCTGCTCTGGTATGTATATACGGACCCCACCTCAAGTTTGACCAGGCACAAGCGGCACTTGCGTGTAAACGGAATGACTGCGGATATATCAGTTATGGCCCTTTACCAGTTATAAGTACTGACTGTAACCCCATTTATAACATGTATAATCCCACTTATAACCAGTTATAACTAATAAATGGCCATAACTGATAGTTCTTCGGACTGATCTTCTATGTAAACTGATCTCCTATGTATACTTATTGATGCCATCCGAACGGTTGATCATCCAAGAATCCAATATATACTAATATTTATCGATGATGCAGTTTGTCGGTGACAAAGTTTCCGAATCCGAGGGCCTGGAAGTTTCCGAATCCGACGTTGAAGTTTCCGAATCCGGGGGGAAAGGCAAGTTTCCGAATCCGAGGGCCTGGTAGTTTCCGAATCCGAGGGACGGCAAGTTTCCGAATCCGCGGGCCTGGGAGTTTCCGAATCCGAGGCCCTGGGAGTTTCCGAATCCGACGCGGAAGTTTCCGAATCCGACGCGGAAGTTTCCGAATCCGAGGGCCTGGAAGTTTCCGAATCCGACGCGGAAGTTTCCGAATCTGTTGGGATAGGCAAGTTTCCGAATCCGAGGGCCTAGGAGTTTCCGAATCCGAGGGCCTCGAAGTTTCCGAATCCGAGGGCATGGGAGTTTCCGAATCCGAGGGGTAGCGAGTTTCCGAATCCGAGGGCCTGGAAGTTTCCGAATCCGACGCTGAAGTTTCCGAATCCGAGGGACGGCAAGTTTCCGAATCCGAGGGCCTGGGAGTTTCCGAATCCGACGCTGAAGTTTCCGAATCCGATGTTGGCCCTTCGACATGGGTCGACTATATCAGAAGGGTCAGACTGACCTATGAAAAGACCAGGCACCGCAAAAGGAAGTACCTGGGTCCGGAACTGGCCGCACAGCTTACCGGCCGGGCCTGGGTGGTGACGCAGGAGATAGACCATCGAAGATTGGTCGCCAACGACGGGGCGGGATTCCTTGTGGAGTTCCTGGAGGAGCGCCTTGGACGAGTACCAGTTCCTGATGCTGGCACGAAGGCGGAGGAGCTCTTTGTGAAGATGCGCCGACCGGTTGGCATGACAATGGCCAGCTGGTGTCACAAGGTTCGAGAGACCTACAGAGGCTTGCAGCGAGCCCTGAAGCGTGCGAGAAAAGAGCAAGGTGATGACATCACCTCGGCACCGCCTGAGTCTCCAATGTCAGGAGGTTCAAGACGTCGAGACGCTGCCCCTTCAGGGCCTACCTCACCCAGTTCCTCAAGGAGAAGGTCTAGCAATGACGCCACACCTCAACCTGCTGTGACACCCACTTCACAGAGACCTTCACCAACATCTCCGATGCCTGATGGTGGTGATGCACCGCTTGGGAGAACGGACAGCGAGGTGGAAGCTGAGCTTGAGAGAAAAGGGAATTGTCGTGGTGCTCAACGACGGCGCCAAGCTTCAGACTCTGACACGGAGACGGAGGACATCTTGGAGGGTTTGAAGGTTTGGGATGACCTGGATAGCCATCTTCCTGATGTTCTACCGCCTGAACTTCTGGGATGGTTGATGTTGAGGAGGTGCTCATTGAGTCCCCAACAGCGCCTCAACATTTTGTCCACGGTGGGCAACTCTTTGAAAGCTGAAGACATAGAACGTGGACTTCGAGGTGCTGAAGAAGAACTCCGTCTGACCGAACGAGAACCTCATGGAAAAGGTGGTGGCAAGAAAGGCCGACCGGTCTTTTGGATGGAGCAAGGTGGCGAGTGGGCTCTTCTCAACGCGATGGAAGAGGACATGGAGGATTGGCTACAAGACGCACACTGGGTGGGAAGCACATCTGACCTTGCTTCCAACTACGGCGTGCTTGGATCTACATTGACCTCAACTTTGCCGAGTTCCTCTGGTGGTGGCGATGGCGATGGCGCGTGGTTCCAAGATTTGGATGGCAGCTACTCTTGGTGGGACTTGGATGCTGAGTCTGGGGAGTACTACCACCAAGATGCAGCTGGTGCGTTTTGGGCATGGAGCGACTGGGAGACGATGCAGTTCCAGTCCTACTTTTCTGTAGATCAACAACGAGAACTGGCTGACGCCTATGCTGCCTATGAAGGGAAGCTTCGTTCCTTCGCTGACTCAAGGAACCTGGTGTACCAACGCCAATCCAACAGAGGATTCTACCCAAACAAGGGTAAAGGCAAGAACAAGACCAAGGGCAAACCGAGACCAACTCAGAAAGGTGGCAAAACGGGTTCGGCAATGGCAGCCGATGCTCTTGCTGTGGGTACCCCAGGGTACACTGGGTGCTTCATCTGCGGCTCCAAGGATCACGAGTTCAGATCCTGTCCAAAGAGGTCGCAGTCAGGCACCAAGTCCAAGGGCAAGGGCTCTGGCAATGTCTATGTGGCGCAGGCGTTGGGGGACCAGCACAGCTTCAACGTCGACGGCACGAGGAGCATCTTCTATGAGTTCGACATCTGCTGCAGCGAGTGGTGCAGCCCCTGTGAACATCTATACGGTCCATGCTGAGCCTGACCCCCAGTTTGACATCCCAGGTGTTATCTCTGAGATGGTTGGACATGTTTCTCAACCTGATGTTTCTGGTTTTGCAGTGATTGACACTGGTGCCACGGAAACCATCACATCCTTGGAAGCCCTTGAGTTTGTCATCAACAACCGAAGACAACGATTTGGTGTAGAACATGTACAAGTGATAGATCGCCCCCAAAAGGTTTTTCGTTTTGGAAACGGCCAAACTCAGACTTCAGAGAGCTTTGTTTTGATTCCTTAGACCATGGGCACCTACCAGATTTTTGTCGGTGCTTTTACACTTGATGCCCCAGGCGTACCACTGCTGCTGGGGATCCGTAGTCTGAGCAAGTTAGGGGCCATCTTAGACTGTAGCAGAAGTGTCATGGTTCCCAAGTCAGTTGATGCAACGTTGATGATACCTCTGAAAAAGTCCCACACCGGTCATTTGCTGATTGACTTGTGTGACAACTGGCTTGAGGGAGGTTCCCGGATCTTTTACGGCGACAATTTGAACGTCTCTGAGAAAAAGATCGCTTCAGCTGCTTCATCGTCTTTCATGGTCAATGAGATTGAAGGTGACATAGGCATCACTCATGAAGGTTCACGAGGTTTTTCAGAACATGGAGGGCATGACACACATGTTGCAGCTGCACAGCCGTTGGAAACATCCGAAACAGTTTCAGCAATTTCATCTTCCTTTTTGAGTTTGATGAGTGAGAATGAAAAGAAAGATTTTGAAAAAGTGGAGTTGGAAGATCAGAGTGAATGGTTAGCTGATTTGTTTGCAGTTCGTTCAGAACGTCTTGGAAATCCATTTGAACTGCAACCCTCATCTTCCTCTTCCGCTGCAGCTGCCGACAACCAGGACATGTCCCTGAGGACTCTAGCTTGGTTAGCAAGTGCCCCTCTACTTCTCGCTTCGACCAGCCTTGGCCATGTCGTCCAGTGGAACCAAGGTGAAGGAGAAGACCACTGCCATGAAGACCGGGGACAAGGGCAAGGACGAGAAATTCGATTGGTCCCGGCAAACGGGGCCGGATCCGCGAGATCCAAGGAATGTTGGCCCGCCGTGCATGGGCAGTCACGACCCGGCTCGCCCGGGCCGAGGCTCTCCTTCAGGGTCGAACGCCCACGGGTGCTGGACGGCATGCAGCCGTTGCAAGATGCGCCTCATGTACGTGCCCGCGTTTGGGGCACATGCCCTGACACGCAAAGCCGGTGCCTTGCCGGCGGATGTCGAAAAGCAAGTTCAAGAACTGGGCAACGAGGCAGCCTACGACTCCAAGCTGCGGGACAAGGACATCGGCCTGGATGCTGCGGAACGAAGCTGCATGGCGAAGCTGGAGAAGATCAGGGTTCAGAAGGCCGAGTACCACAAGGAGAAGAAGCCCGAGATGGCACAAGGGCCGATTGCCCCACAGCCAAAGGCGAAGATCCCGCCGACAGCAACGGTGGTGAACTTGGAGGAGGCCGACAATGCAATGCTGCCAGGCCGAAAGGGACGAAGAATGGAAGCTCCAGAGGAGTTGGAAGCAGCACAGCGGGAGGAGGTGGAGACGGAGAAGTCCTTCACCATGGTGCCTCCTTGAATGAGGAGATCTTTGTGACAAAGTATGAGCTCATGCCGGAGAATGAGACCCACGATGAGGACGCCACTGACTATGACCAAGCGTCGGAAGAGATCTATGTCACAAAGAATCTGGCTGACTTTGAGTCCAAGCGCATTCACCTGTCCTTGGAGGAGTACTTTGAAGAGTTCGACGATAACGTCTTCGAATGTGGTGGCCTACGTGAGTGCGACATGCTGGACGTTTTGGAGCTTTGCTGCGAAGAAGACAGCCTTTTGACGGCGACTGTCTTGAAGATGGGTGGCAAGGCTGAACGAGCTGGACTTTTCAATGGATGCGATCTTCTCAAAGAATCTGGACGCGAGAAGGTCGAAGAGATCATCCGCACCAGAAAGCCTCGCTGGATTTGGGTGTCATACCCATGTGGCCCTACAAGCCCTATTCAGCACCTCAACGAGATCACCGATGATGGTTGGAGGAAAAGTATGAAGAGACGCCAACGACATCGACGTCTTCTGAAAGCTGGCAACGACATTCTGGAAGACTATGCCAACGCTGGTGGCAACGTTGCCTGGGAGTGGCCTCGCTATAACGAGGGTTGGAAACTCTCGGAAGTCAGAACCTTTTGGAACAAGTTCGACTACATGGACCACGACTTCGACGGCTGCATGTACAATCTGAAATCCGTCAACGGCTACCACAAGAAGCCCTGGCGACTGAGATGCAATCGCAAGGGAGTTTTCCATGCGATGGAGCGATGCTGTGATGGAAGTCATCGTCACGATCCTTCGATGGGTGGCACGGTGGCTCGGAAAACTGGCCTCTACACCCCACAGATGTGCAGCCTGGCGGCCAAGATCATGCTGGGCTACTACATGACTGACTATGCCATCTTTGGTGCCGAGTCCATCGTGATCGACAGGGAAGCGCTCAAGACTATGACAACACAGGAGCTTGAGAGACTGTCCTTGACGGTGCTGAAACTTCATCGTCGATGCGGCCACCCAAGCAACAGAGCTCTGGTGAAAACACTGGCTGCGAGAGATGCAGATCCCAGAATGCTTGCTGTGGCCGAACAATTGAAGTGTGATGAATGCCAAGAAGGACAGCTGACAAAACCTTCGGTGGCAGTGTCTTTGGAAAAGGAGGAGAAGATTTGGAACACGATGCAAATGGACGTGTTCTTCTACAAGCATGGCAACAACGTTCACCACTTCCTCATCATGCTGGATGAAGCTTGTGGCTTTGCAATCTCTGCCGAGCTCCTGGTGCACACCACGGACATCCATGCCAACGTGGACACTCCAAGCGTCATTGAAGCTTTGGAGGGATCGTGGTTTCAATACTTTGGCCATCCACGACGCATCAGATGCGACTTGGAGGGAGCTTTTCGTGGCCGAGAACTGGAAGCCTACTGTGCCGATCGTGGCATCGAACTTCTTCAAGTTCCAGCAGAACATCACCAAGCAACTGGCGATGTGGAGCGCTTCATTGGTGAACTACGTGTGAAGGTGGAAGCCTTCCTGAGAAATGAGGATGTGCCTGCGAGAAGAGCGGCCTATGCTATGACCTCGGCCCACAACCATCTGGCTCGTGTTGGAGGATTTTCTCCAGCCCAATGGGCCTTTGGACAACAAGTTGACAACCTCGACAATGTGGCCCTGCACTCCTCAGAAGGCACCGCCGGCCATGCGATGTCAGAAAATCTTCAACTTCGCTTGAAGGCTGAGAAGTTGTATCTTGAACTCCAGGCCAGAGCAAAGATCTCCCGAGCTATCAACAGCAAGGGGAAATCCACTGTGAGATTCTTGCCTGTTGACTTGGTCTACTACAAGCGCTACAAGGTGCCATCTGACTATCCTGCTCATGAGCTGGTCGATCAGCCCAGAATGAGGATCAGCCGCTGGTATGGCCCTGGAAGAGTTCTTGCTAGCGAGACCAGAGTTCAAGAAGAAGGTACCCGACGGACGGCATCTTCAACCGTCTAGATTGTGGCCCAAGGGCGACTCAAGAAATGCCATCTGGATCAGCTGCGGCATTCCAGCGAAAGAGAACGACTCATCGCGGAACAAGCCCCAGCAGCCACAATGCCATGGACGTTCAACGCCCTGGAAAACCTCATCCAGAAGGGTGCCTATGACGACATCACCAACGACTTCCCTGCCACCAAGAATGCGAACAAACAGCAGCGGAAGGCTCTGAGATCTAGAACTCCAGTGCCCATGCTGCGTGAGAGAAAGGATGAAAGACCAACAACTCCCACACCAAGGGAGATGGCAGTTCCAACCTCAACTGCTGCCTCTGAACCCCCAGAGTTGGGGATGATTCCAGCGCAAGATCAACTACCTGCAGAGGGAGAACAAGCATCTTCCTCAACCTCTCATCGAGACCCAGATGAGCAGCCAGTGATTGATGGCTCTCGACTTTTGATGGACGTGGACTACAACCCGCTCAAGCGCATTGGAGGCCAAGATCAACGTCCTGGAGACGATACTTTCCAACGACGTCGACGACAACATGAACTACAAGAACGACCCTTCCATGTGCAGAAGCGTGAGTTTGAGACGGCCATCAACTGGTGCACTGAGGCAGAGAACGACTTTGTCTACGGCGTGGAGATTCCAATGCCGGAGGATGAGAAGGCATGGCGAAAGATCCTGAAGAACCCCAGCAAGTTCACGGCCAAGAGCGTCCAGAAGGGTGCCGAGATCTCTTGGGGAAAACTTGATGGAGTTCAACGAGCCGCCATGCAGGAGGCAAAGCTGGCCGAGGTGCACCAATGGGTGCGAGAGGAGGTGTGCCAGAAGTACAAGGGTATCATCCCATCTGGCCGACTGATGAAAATGCGCTGGGTCCTGACGTTGAAGAGCACCTCAGATGCCAAGACAGCCAAGTGTAAAGCACGCATCGTGCTCCTCGGATATACGGACCCAGATATCGAGGTATTAGAAACCTCAGCTCCCACACTGACAAGAAGGTCAAGACAATTATGTCTGAACCTGGCCTGTGCAAAGCGCTGGAGGCTTGGAAAAGCCGACGCAAAAAGTGCCTTTTTGCAAGGCTCAGACAATCAGAAGGTCAGACAGATCTTCGCTATCCCTGTGCCCGAACTTGCTGCTGCCTTGGGTGTACCTCCAGGAGAAGCTGTACAACTCCTGAAGGCCGCCTACGGCCTCGTGTCAGCGCCACGAGAGTGGTTCTTGGAGGTAAACCGCGTGACCACGGAGGATTGCGGTCTACGCCAGCTGAAATCAGATCCATGCATGTGGGTGTTGGATGGTGAAACCCCAGGATCCGAGCCTCGAGGTTTCATAGCCTCACATGTGGATGACTTCTTGATTGCGGGCGACGAGACCGACCCTACATGGCGCAACTGCCTGGAGAAGTTCCGAGCAGCTTTTCGCTGGTCACCCTGGGAAGAACCACCATTTTTGCACTGCGGCGTGGTGATTGAGCAGCGAGAGGATTTTTCCTTCCAGCTGGACCACTCCGAGTACTGTGGCGAGATCAAGCAAGTGGAGATCAACAAGAATGTGGAGGGCGTCACCGCTGAAGAGATGTCCCAATGCCGAGCAGTTCTCGGAGCAGCGCAATGGCGCGTGTTGCAGACAGCACCGCAGCACGCTGCGAAGCTATCCTGGCTTCAGAGCGCACTTACAAACTCGACATCAAACAAGGACATCCTGAACCAGGTGAATAAACTATGCCGCGAGATCTATGCCCAACGACACCTATCAGTTCACACGAAGCAGCTCAACGTGGAGAAGCTTGCCGACCTGGCCATCGTCTGCTGGACAGACGCAGCAGTGGGCAATCGCCCTGACTTGTCATCGACGGGAGGCTACATAGTGGGTATGGTCTCCAAGGAGATGCTCCAAGGTCAACGTGGCTGTGTCAACCCCCTGTCTTGGAGGAGCGGCAAACTTCCAAGGGTGGCTCGCTCGAGCCTTTCAGCAGAAATACAGTCATTGGCCGAGGCGAGCAGGAGCTGATGATGCTGCGAACCCAGTGGGCTGAGCTTTTGGGCATCCCTGTGGATCTTCGAGCACCTCACTTTGCTACGAGCCAGATCCCTGCAGCCATGGTGGTGGATGCAAAGAGCGTCTACGATGCGGTGCAGAAGGGCGAAACTGCAAGTGCAGCTTACAGTATGAAAGAAAAATATGCTGCGCTCGAACTGATGAGCGTAGCTGAAAACCTACGGTTGCAAAACACACCCCTCCTTTGGGTGTCGAGTGATGCCCAGCTTGCTGATGGGCTCACCAAATCAGCTGCACAAGAGGTCATCAAGAATTTCTTGATGCGAAATCAAACTTGGAATGTGAAGTTTGATCCGCAGTTTGTGGCGTCGAAGAAGAAGCCCAAGGAAGATCGCATGACGCAATCATTGCCTGAGACATCTACTTTCCCTACTGAATGGGCAATGAGCGTAGTCCAAATGCTTCAGCACACTCACTCACCTTTCGGCAACAGCCTTTGGGGTGTGTGAAAGTGTCAGCTGTAGCCACATTTTTCCTTTTGCCTACATGTGGTGAATGTGCTACTAAAGCATCTGCACCGCTATTGTAATGGCTCAGGGACCCCTTTAGCCAACTGTCTGTCTAAACAGACTTTTAGGCCACGTGTTTGCTTAGCGCCATAGTGGTGCAACCGGTGACTGCTGCCTGAGAAGACTTAGGCGTGGAGCAAAACAACTGAGGACCGATTTGCATCTCCTAGTTGAAACGTTGCCAGTGTCACACCGACACTAAGCCATTGGCCTTCGGCAGCTTGGAACTTTGGTAAGAGAGTAAACAGCAACTCTGCTAAAAGGATCTAACTTCGGCAGTAGGATGTTCCAGGATGTTCCAGGACGTTTCAGGATGTTTCAGGAAAGACGTGTTTCAGGAAGGACGTGTTTCAGGAAAAAGGTGTTTCAGGAAGGCAACAGCAATTCATAGAGCACTGTTTCATCAATATCGACTGTATTGATGATTTACAGAATGCAGGCACAGCTTGGGCTAGCCCAGAAACCAAAAACAGCATTGAGCAAACCTGAAGTTTTTGCATAGCTTTGCATGGATTCATGGCCCGCACAAGAGGCCAGCTGTTCTGCCTGCAGCACTTGTTGTGACATTGGAAGCAGCCGGACTTTCTTTGAAGAGGGCCTGCAGTGCATGCAGTATATTTTGTTTCGATCTTTGTGCTCGAACTGCAGTACGTGTTGATGATTGCGGAGACGTCCAGCGCATTAGAGAGCAGTGCAGAACATGCAATGTGTGAAAGGTATCAACGGATACCAAGGGATATCAATGGATATCAATGGATATCAAGGGATATCAACAGATATCAAGGGATATCAACAGATATCAAGGGATATTAACGGTAATGTGTTGATTTTGGTGTTCATTCCGTGTTGATTCTGTTGGCTCCTTAATCACAGCAAACACATTTTGCCCAGCATTTGGTTACTATACAGGAGTTCGTTCTTGCGCGGAGCAGGCAAGGTCAGCTGAATACGGTCGAGCCGTGAAGCGAAGCAGCGTGTAGGTTCCCAACTTGTCAGTTTTGGTTTGCAGCCTCGATAGCGCATCCGGTTTTGCGTGTAGAGGGTAGCGACAAGTACAAGCAGCAACAGTAGCAATTAGGAGTGCAGTTTTGGGTAGGTCAGATAATTTGTCCAGATCAGACAGTTTCAAGGGCTTCTGTAATTAACAATCTACTTGGCGAGAGTTGCAACCACCACAATGGCAAAAGTGAATGTCAAGACAAGGCTTAAAAACCGAAAGAAGCACGAGCCATGTTCCTGTTTCAGGGATGCTCCAGTGCGAAGTTGTGGCCTGCAAACATTCTTGCGGTGGTGGTGGTGAACTTAGTCATTGCTTGTCTCATCATTTCGGCAGTACGCAGTCCGGGAAGCTGTCGAAATATTTCTGTCCGAATTGAGATTGTTGGTCTCATTCTTTGCCTAGTGTCCCATGGGATGATGATATATGATAATGCCATGACAACATGTGTTGAAGACAAAGACGACGAGATCTCTTTGTGGATTTGGGCAATTGCTCACATCATTCAGTCCACAGGATACTTTTTCCTGGTCCAAGGGGAGATCAGGGAATGCAGACAGTCCCGAAAACAGTGCGAGAAAGCTGGAATATGGCTCTTGTTGTCTGGCTCGGTCCTCGAGCATGCCATTCCTGTGCATGTAGGCACTCGACAAATTTCTTTCCGAACATTGATGGATTCCGAGCATGTCAAAACTCTGAGTTCCCTCGTTGAGGTGGTGGCAATGGTGTTGTTGCGCGGCGCGCGCGGGCCCTCTCCCAGTTCTATCACGGAGCTAACAGCCTACGTACTGCTGATCTACAGCAGTGCATTTGGGGCGATTTGGGATCAACACTCTGTTGTCGTCATAGTTGCGGAACTCTGCGAGATCATTGGTTTGGGGTGCTTTATGACGGTCGTCTACATGGAAAGGTTTGATTGGACGCGCAACGCAATGTTATGCTGGCCATTTCTGAATGGAATGGGACTCGCATTCATCTTCTCAATGACATATTTGATCTGCTGTGAGCTCTTAGAAGAGACCTTTGGCTTCTCTTCTATGGATTTTGTACCTGATTGAATTCTTTGCAGCGCTTTGCAGATGGAGGCAACATCGTGGCTTGGAAACACATTTGCAGGAGCATCAAGCCGACAATAGTGCAAACACTCTGGAAGATGCTGCTGATGTTCCATCCACGCCTTCTTCACAAAGTTCAGAGTCTTCCCAGTTTGTCCCTGCCATTCTCCCAGACCTTAGCCCATGTCAAAGAATCATTTTCTGGGTGCTATTCTGCTTGGTTTGGCTCACGTTGGCAGGCGTTCGTGTCGTGCAGGTGTTGTCGCAGCTACAGGACACACATTCGGTAATCGAATTTCCTCTCTTTCTGGTGCCGATGCTGCTTTTTGGTGTTCCAGCCACCTGCATTCAGATTTTTAATGCGTACCCGTTTCCAAAGGGTCTTGGCCGAGTGCCAGCGGCCCTTATTCTCACATATGGGCCTTCGAGTTGTGTGGTAATTTTTATTTGTATGACTTGTTTTGCTTGCACAGGTCAGCCTTGGTATTGGTTAGCAATGGCGTATTCGGCGTATTGCTTAGGCTTCTGTAGCTCAATTGTTTGCCGGGCACTGACACGTGCCCAGGCACATGCCGCATGACCATTGTTCCCAGCAAAAGTGCGTTTGACCGCGCGCTCTGCATCAAGCACGACTGCGACTTGTCAGTGCCTGGATTGAAAATCCTGCTTGCAGCTCATGGTCATACATGTGTCGCGACCCTGCCGTTTATGTTTGAAAATGGGCACACTCTACCCTACCTAGACTGATTTCCTTTTTGTTGCACTCTGTTTATTGATCATAAATGGACATTGTTTTTTTTTTAACACTAGCATCTATCACAAGCAAAGGCTAACCATGTCACATGTAACTATTGCAATGACTTGAATGACTAGAAGTCACGGGGGATATCACATGATCCAAGCCACCATGATTTGTGATATGTATCTGGGTAAATTTAATCACGACCTAACTGTTCTCCCGAACCCTGGAATCATGGTTAGTAAGGGGAATCATCCCCAAATGGCCGCAACAATTCAGGTGAGTGAACTATTCTAATTTACCCATATATATATATATATATATACACATACAATACATATATATATACATATAATATACATATCATTTAACCAGATACGTATATATTAATGGCTGTTTGGGAAGCTCCATTCCCATTGATGGCTCCTATAAGTAGGAACATTGGCACTGAATACTTGGAGAAAGATATATTTCGGCCAGTGTTTCACTTGGTTTTGAAGGTTGGACGGAAATAGGGCTATCCCGTCCCACTATAAACATCCAAAAGTAGATCAGATCTTTGGTAATCAACTGGTAATTAACACATATGTCCGTTTCTCTCGAAATGGGGTATACCCCAATCTATTAATTAATGATGAAACATGCAACTGGAATGGAGTTTCCCAATTTTGCACCACCCTCATGCCTCATATTGATGGTATTTTTCTGCGGCCCATTGCCATCAGGTGTAATGAATCGGTAATTGCTAACCAGTAAAAACTGGAATGCTCCCAACAAAAACAGTACTTGTAGAATATTAACAACTATTATTCAACCAGCAACGATCGGTAATACATATGTCTGGGTAAATTTAATCACGACCTCACTGTTCTCCCGAGCCCTGGAATCATGGCTTACTTTAGGGAAATCATCCCGAAATGGCCGCAACAATTCAGGTTAGTGAAATATTCTAATTTATCCAGATATATAGGAGAGACCAGTTTAGTATCGGAAAGGGACCAGAGGAGTCCCATGAGGATCCCTTGAGAACACCAGGAAATCCCCTTCTGAAACCATTGATTGTCATAAGCCATGTGCTTGTTCATAAATAAGCCCATGTTTGGACACCCCCTGTTTTGTGGTTGTTCATATATATATATATATACTTTTATATACACAACATTTTACATATTCCTGATATGGTTCGTATATATATATATATAGTTAGTCTGAAGCTCGCTTATTTTTAGTCATCCCTGCGCCCGACCCTTCAGACCTAAAAACATAACACAATTTTATGATAATATATTATTTAATATATTATCATAGACTGTTGAGATGATATTAGGCGTGGTTAGGCTGTTTCGTTTTCTTTCTTCAACTTCTCTTGATGCCCTTTTGATTTTCCGTGTTGGCTTTTCTTATGCAACTTCACTGAATATCTACATAAGGGACTGTCATACATTTTCATTTTGTAAGGTGTGGTAGGTTCTTTTACTTCCCTTACCCTTTCAACTCCATCTCTTTTACATCTATAGTATTCCTTCTTATCTTCAATACAAGTATTACATAATTTTCTGGGTTCAGTAAATTCATCAACTTCTTTAGTTTTCTTACACCTAGAGCAATATTTATAAACAATGTCCTCCATACATTCTAATGCCCGTATTTCTTTAGATACTTTTCTTATAAACTATCCTTACAAGAAAACATATTTTACAACATATTTCATATAGTAGATTACTATATGAAATATGGGGATAATCAACATAAATTGTATAATAGTTTATTATATATATATATATATTTATTGGTTAATGTCCTTGAAAAGAATTTCATAAGGAGTTTCTATAATTTGCTTTATTTTCTCAATCAGTTCATTTGTTAAAGTTTCTTTATCTACAAATTGTTTCATCTTCCAGTATACATTCCTATTAGAAGAATAGACATCATCAAATACAATCACATCATATTCTGAAAAATCAAACTCATCTAATTTAACGGTTCCAAAACTTATTCCAAAAAAAAATATTGACTGTAATTGCTTCTCCCTCAAAAGATTGTAATAACTTATTAGTAGGGCATACGAATATAACTTTAAAACCTCTGTCTGTCATCCTTTGGCATATATAACTCTTACCTGTACCAGGCACCTCACCTTTTATGGTTA